GATTTATTTATGTCATTAATATGCCGAATTATTTGTTTTTTGACGAATGTTACATGAGTGGCATTATGCTGAATAAATATTTTTTGACTAGTGTCATCACTAGAAAATATTAAAATTTTTAAATTAATAACTATAAAAAACTATCTACAATTGTTCTCTATTATTCAAATCATTAATTTATAGCATTATCTAACTTTTGTCCCTATTAAAATAAAAAGCTATAAATTTTGTTCCTCAAAAAAGGACATAAATAATCTATGAAATTTTATATGCTAAATACTTTAGAAACTCATCATTAATGATAGGTATGTTTTTATATATATGTAGATTAATAATGGTCTATTGTAATTGAAAAAACTCTTTGCAGATCTTTTAATAACATAAAAAAATATATATTTACAAAAAGTTTTTATATTTTTTGATTAATAAAATTTTTACACTTATATTAAAATATTTTATTGTTTACAAGTCTCTTTATCCAAAATTTGACTTTCAATAATTAAGAAAAGTCAAGTAATATCTGTGATATCAATAACAAAAAAGTTTCTAAAAGAAAAAAAACTAATTGTGAAATATTAGAAAGCCCTTTTTAACCTTTAAAGCAAGAGATTTATAAAGATTTTTCTATAGTTAAAAGACTTACTTTCTCTCTTTTAAACTGTTATAACTTTCTTAAAGCTTCCACTTTCATGATTTTCTAGGAAATTTTATTTATCTCAATTTAATCTTGAATTTTTGATAACACAAATCTTCACCAAAGGTGATTGGTTAACATGAAATATGTTAATTTCTAGAATGTTAATAAGTTCCTATTGGTTTTAAAAGAATTTTTTAAAAATGTTTGTTTTTAAAAAGTTCAAGTTCTTTAATAAAGGTTTTTATAATATCAAAAGATCAAGTGATAAGTAATGTGGATTGCAAACTTCTGTCTCTTACTTAAGTTTCTTAGGTGATAAAAAAGTTTTAATAGAAAAAACTGAGGTCTAAATGCTTTCTTTAAGATATTTCAATTTGGTACTTGCTTAAATGAAGAATCAGTTGGATAGACTTGTTCAATATAACAAATAATAAAAAAAAAGATTTCTTCTGAGGTTCAAATAAAACAAAAAAACTATTTCAATTAGACAAATCCCTTTTAAAAAAAAGTTGATTTTGTTTTTGAATTTTTTTGATAGACCTTGAATTGTTTCTATTTCTAAATCGATTTTCTCCTTTCTTTTTTTAACTTTGTAATTTATTGATTTTCAGATCAGTCAATAATAACAAATTGTTGACAATGATCCTAATAGATAGAGGTTATTATTAATCTATATAAGAAGTGTAATATTGTTTTCAAGATCTGACTTAGAGTATTTATGTATGAAGATAAGTTGATCACTTTGTGAAAATCTGTAAACTATTATAGATTTTATTTTAATTTCTCAATAAAGATAAGCTATCATGATATGATTGTAGATTAAAAAAAATAAATAAATAAATAAATATTAATTAGATCTATTTTATTTATATAATATATTTAATAGAAGAAGTATTCTTTCTAATATTTTTTTGATACTATTTATATAAATTTCAGAAAAAGATATATATATTTTTTATTATTATTTGTAATATTAGATCAGTTTTTATGAACAGATTTTTATTTAAATGAAGTATGAAATTAAAATATCTTGAACTAAAAGAATAAGATTCCTAAAAGGCGGGTCTAAAAAAAAAATAATAATAAGATTCCTAAAAGCTATTAAAAACAAAAGAATTGATCATTAATTAAATCAAAAGCATACTGCATGTATTATATATACAGTATATACAGTATAATAAATTATTAGATGGAAAAGCTAGAATAGACTTTTTTTGGTAAGTAAAACTTGGGGATCGTGATCTGGAACAAAAACTGAATTTAGCATATATTCTAATGAACTAATTAAGCAGGAACTAAAAAAAGAATGCTAGGAGACAAAAAAAGCAATTGTACGAAACTAGCGTGCATGGCGCACGCAAAAATTAGGCAATGGCGAGATACGACAATCCTGACTGATGTTGTAACAGGTAACACACTAGTAACTACGCAAGAATTCCGTATATGAACTTGAAATTCTTTGGATGAGAAGCTTTCTTAAGCATTCGGGATTTTCTGTCGCCACCCTAACGATAGAATAAGCTTGAGGCTTATGATTTAATCTTTTTACGGGTTTACTATTTCTATATAACAACTTTATATAGCTAAATACTATCATAAACGAAATATACGTATATATTTATGTTCAGCTCAAAACGAGGATTGAAATCGCAATAACAATACCGGTTTCGTTCCTGGAAAAAAGAACAGCCTATAACATAAAAAAAGCCTTTCTTGAATTCACGTTATATTGGAGCAAGTGTGATAGCGGTTGGGTTCAAAAATTCAATCAAAACGGATAGTTTATTTGTGGACTGAAGGAACGGAGCGTGGTTTTTTTTTACCAAGTTGAACTTTTCAAAAAAAGACAAATACGAAGCGACATTAAAACAGAAGGTATTTATTCATAACATATCTTTTCACAGTAACAACATAAAAAAAAACCACCGCCACTTAAAAGCTACCTTTACGATTTAACAAGCCTCTTTCTCCAATAAACTAATAAAAAAAAATTTTTTTTTCTTTCATTATTATAGGGGTTTTAATCCAGTAGAGATTATTTGGTTTAGGTTTATTGATCGATATTTGTTTCTATTTTTTTTTCTCCCGATTGTTTATTTATTACTTCGTCACTGTTTTGCGCTCAAATACATTCAGTATCATATAAGACACGATGTAAGTTTTTACATTCTTTGCTCTTCCATTTTTTTGGAGGTTGAGTGGGCGAGTGGAAGTGAAGAAAAGCGAAACAGAAAAAATAATTAGAAATGATATTAATTGTATGGGTAAATGAACAACAAGTTTAGAGTTATACATTACTTACTATTCCACATTACGGTTTTACTATTCTTCGTACGGCTTTTTCCAATTATTTTTTTAATTAATTCGATTATAAATATTTCTTCCCATATGTCCCACCTTTCTGCAGGCCTACGGATCCAGAGAAATCAGAGCTTTATGATCCACATCGACCCTCTTATCCAGAGGATCGTCATTCGACTGAAGCTCCCACCAAAGTTCAGCAAGTCACTCATCAAATCGAGGAGACCAAGACCGAAATCCAAAAGTCCTTGCAAGAATTAGCCAATCGAGGGAGAAAATTAGAAGACTTGGAAGAGCAGACAGGTATGCGAAGGGATAATTGGTGCAAAAAATTGATTCCTGGTCAAAGAATTCATTTTCATATTTACTACCAATCTCCTTATACGATTCCAACAAATGCAGCAATGCTACAAGATTCTTCGAGTGTCTTTAAAACACACACCACTATAGTTCGTAAAAAGATGTGGTGGAAAAACACTAAGATGACAGTGATTCTTACGATCACTGCTATCATTATATTGGCCCTTATCATTGGTAAGTTTATCACTATCTTCTCATTCCTAATTAATAGTGAATGATTTGCTGACTTCGATTTACTTTTTTATGCATATAAAGTTCCAATTGTTCTTAAGGCTCAGAATAAAATCTAATGAGAAATGAAATTCAAACAAGTAACATTTAGTAATAACTTATATAGTACATTGTCCAAATCAAAAACGCGTTACCCGCACAAATAGCATTTCTTATGTATATATAATATATGGTTTTTTTTTTTTATATATTAGGTCTTTTCATCTAAAAATATTACATGACTTTTTTCATTAATGGTTATTAGGTTCTTGGGAAAACTCGATAGATTTAAAGAACCTAAATCCTTCGTGCGTGACAACAATGCGCTATAATTTTTGACCGTTCATGGACTATAAAATCACCATTCCACATCCACCGTCCAAGTGATTTTTCTTCCTGAGAATTATATTCATTTATATACGGGAAATACAGAAAATTGAGGGGACGCGTTCAATTTTATTGTTATGACTGGCACCTTTACATTATTTTTTATTTTTCATATAATTGTAGTTATTGTTTGGCTTATTGTTATGTTTAACTGTACAAATACAAATATGCTATTATTATCACAGGCTTTCGTCTTGTTGATTATTTACATATTTATTATTTATTTATTACAACACATCAGATCGAGGTTAAATTCTTATACCATTAATGGATTCATTAAGTGATGAGGATGTTGTGTGTTATATCCATTCATTCATCCATCAGTATGTTAATAATCATACTGTATATTTCATGCATCTATAATTATTAGAAATATTATTAATCAGATCGAGGAATCGCGAACAATCAATATGCCAAGATCACGAAATCTAAAAATTTTCATCTTCCCTCGTCTCTTCATGGGTTTCCAAGCATTTGACGCTGCAATATTTCATCCCACAAGTTTTGCAGCTATAATTTGACAAATAACCACAAACCGAACAAAATTTCCTTGATGGATATCTTGACGGTCCTGCTGCGGCAGTCAAATATGTCGGCACGTCCGGCGGAAATTGATCGATTTTCTACAACGAAAACCCATCGTGAAGGTTTATTGATGTAATTTAGAATAGATTTTACAAATTTTCACCCACTGATTCTTCGAGATACGCGTTAAGATTTCTTTTAACTGTCAATTGCCTTAAGAGTTCTTTTTTACTTCTTGCCTTTGTTTTTCGATCTATCGAATAATGAACAAGTAAGACAATTTGCAAAAAAAAAAAAATAAAAAATCTGTACCAGTAGCACACACTTTGACTAGTATCAACCTCGGAGGTACGCCTTGGTTTCGTTATGGTACCGCTAACTATTTCGAGTTCTGGTACTTCTGCATAATTATCGCGTTCGAGTTCATTTAAGTGATGTTGAATGTTTCTGTTTCTTGTTGTTTGATCAAGAACAACTGTGCCGTAAGATTTTCGAAAATTCTCGGAATATGAACTAAAATCGGAAGAATGTGCTGTATAAAGAGACTCTCACGAAGGAAGTACCTGCTCTACGGTCTATTTTTTTGGACATTTTACTACGCACTTTTGCTGCAAAGTCCTAAGCAAATGTTATGGTTACCCTTGTAAATTCATATAGAGTGTGCAACCCATGCAATAATCAATTTTTTAAAGAATAAATATTTAAGTGGATAATAGAATTGTTGATCTTACTATATATAGTAATTTTACTATAATTCTATTATTAATTGGTTTTTAAAGTTTTTAAAATTTTATTATGACCTGTGGGTCAATAGCACAGTGGTAGTGTTCCCAGGTTGCAATCACAAGGTTTGAAGTTCAATATCACTTAAGAACCAAAATCAAAAATTATTCTTTTGATCAGGTTTGACCAGTTATCCTGTAAAAGTCATATCCAATCATCCGGAACAAGTTCAATCAGGTTAAGCTGCATAAAGATGGGACTTCTGGCCTTTTGTCGATCAGGAGTTGAGATCTATGGTTGTACTACCGGAAGGATTGCATGAAGAAAGGTTTCTGGTTTAGCCTACCATAAAAATGCCTCAAACCTATTTTGACCTGGTAACCTTTAGGACCTTCACTCTCTTAGCTCAGAATATCCCAATCTGGTGCTCTGCTTAATTAAAAATCAGTCAATAGGGACTGATCCAATGTCACAAGTGATGACAAAGAAGGAAAGTGCCCCCCTTCCGAGGTCTGATCGAATAATATCTGGAAATATTGGAGGGTGTTATACATCCCATCGGATATATACATAAATAGACTAGCTTAGTAAAACAATAAAAACTTGTAAAGCTCAATACTAACTAGCCTAATCTCGCCGTTGATGACTGTGTATTAACCATCTGACCCCTAGCTAGATCTGTCCACTCACAGAGTGGTTGCAGGTCTATCTAGGACAAACTGCGATAGGTTATCATTAAGCTGCATAGATATAGAAATATATGGCTTATAGAAGATGATTGATGTAACTGCTATAGGATTTAATTATTCGTCAATTAAGTTAATTCTTTAATAAGCTTGCATCTAATACCAGTTGCGGTTAAAATTAAAAAAGATCCCTACTATTTGCCAAGTACAATTCCAAGAGGCCAGTGTACTCAAAGTGTCATTGATGTTTCGTCCTTTAGAAAAGGTAAGAAAAAAAAAGAGATAGGGGATATCAATGGATGAATTAACTATGAAAAATCCTCTGAAAAAATAGTTAATAATAATGACAATGTATTCGAAGACCTGAACTAGCAGTATAGGAGGAAAAGATATGATTGATGTATATGTGTTCCTTAGTTTTTGGATATTGTCACTACTATTCATAAGTTTAAAAAGAAACTTATAGTTGATAGACAAGTTACTGTGCAACTCATATGGAGGGAAGAAACTTTCACTTGAGTTCATATTGTCTATGTTTCTACTAGATATGCTTATTGTTAATGTACTTAAAGTAATAGTGTTGATGTGATATCCTATATTATCTTGTAATAATTTTCAGCAATATTCATATGCTAGCTTGTTAGTTATTTTAGATAGTGTTGTAAACTCCCAAGTCAAGTATCAGTGCCATTCAATTTAACTCTACCTAAGGTTACCTTAGTACTATGGAAAATTCTTTTATATCTCTTTTGTGAAATTACTCTCTAGCCAGGTTTCAACTATATATATGAATAAAATACTCTTGTTAAACAGGAAGGGGGAATTCTTTAGGATGGTCATTTGCGCAATCAATTTGGTAGAGAAGTTGGTGAAAGGAAGCTCCTCTTGGTATTACTGGGTGATTATTACATCTTTCAAGATGAGAGAGATTCTATCTCTAAGAGAAAAAGGGTTAGGGATAGTGGTATATATATAGCTATATAGGTCAATCTAATGCAATATATTCTACCTTGCCATAGGCCATTTTTATTCCAATGCAATAAAGTCGAGAGACATTTGCTAGACCTCTATATCCTAAGAGTTGAGTTAACTAGCCTATAGCTATATATTTCTTCTTCTTGCTCAATGAGAGCCAAAGACATAGTAGGAAATAGTATCCTGTATTCATCCACACCAGACTTATATGACTTATGATGAACTCCAGATTCTTATGGGGCTGAGAAAATGCATTCAAATATATGAAGGGACCAATGGGAGCTTGTTTACATTCTTGTACTAACATGATTTTATTGGACCAATCAAATAATGAGAAATCTTGTATTACTTAAAATTCAAGGTCAAACTGAAGTATGCAAAATTCTCTAGAAATAATCAAGAAAGAGCCATATTAGTGATAAAGAAAGTGGATATAATGTATTTACAATAGTTCTTTATATCAATCAAATAACTCTATAATATTTCTTTATAAGATAGATAAATGATAGAATGTCAGCTCTTCTTCCTTTCAGAACTTTCTTGCCATAGATAGAAAAGGTATATTCATGACTATTCAGGTTACTAGTAGTCAAGTTTTTATTTGAAGAGATGGTAGACAAGAGGGGAGTGATAAGAGTGACTTCTGAGAGACTTATCAGAATAGTTTAAGGAGAATAGTAAAACTTTGTTAGTAGAAAAGGTAGAAAAACTTATTTTGTATATCTTTTTTTTGTGTAATCAGAGAATTATCAGAAAGAGTTTTGTTAATCTCTGAATTGCAATATAATATAGAAAATAATAATATAATATTATAGTTTTAAATTGCATTAAAACAATATAAATAATTTTATTTAAATAATCATTTATTAATTTAATATTTTTTTTGCTAATATATTTAGAATATTTGAATAAAAAAAATCAACAGAACATACTTTTTATAAAAAATAGTTGCCTTTATCTTTGTAATCTTTATCTGTCTTGTTATTATAAATTTCCTTTGTATTAACTGTATCAGAAAAGCAACAGTTTATTCAATAACACCTGGTGTCAAATTTTCAATCCCTATTATAACAACTGAATTGCTTAGAAGAAAACTATCTATTGTATTATCTGAAATATTGTATCTGAAGTTATATAAATATCTATATTGGAAGTTGAATTGTTACTCAAAACTTGAAATAAAAAGGACATTAAAAAAGGTTAGAATTAAATTATTACTAAATTATTAAAATTAATATTAGTGGAAAAATATTTATTTGATATAATGTTACTTATGTAACATTCATAAAAAAAAATAAACAATTTGGCATATTAATGACATAAATAAATCATTAATCAATTTCTACTATATAATTCAATATACTGTAAATACTGTAAATCGTTAATCAATTTCTATTACATAAATCATCAATTAATATCTATAATATAATTTGATATTATTTGCCATATAATTTGATATTATTTGCTATATAATTTGACATTATTTGTCATAAAATCTATTTTCTGTCAAATTAACCAGTTTGTACCATTGAATAAAGGTCAATTAATATTCAATAATATTATTTGAAAATTTATAGAATGTGTAAAGAAAAATTGAACTTGTTTCAGATATAAATCAACACTTACATCATAATTCATGAATTTAGTTAATATAAATGAGCCCTTAATATTTTATGAAAACATAATAGAATCGAATATTTCATTTCCAATTCGACATCTACTATATTAAGCTGCTCTATTTCAAATAATTATCAAATTTTCATTATCTTTTATAAATGGCTTCCAAAAGTCTATAGTTTCATAAAATGCCTTATAGTATTTGACTGATAGATCTTATATTTCAGTAAATACCTCTAAATTTGATTTTTTAAGATACAAGAGTTCATCTGAAAAATGTTTGATCCATAGATTATTGTTTTATAAATATTATACATGTTGTTTAAAAATTGATATAACTCATCAATTGAAAATTGATCTAGCTCAAAAATTGAGTTGATATTTGGTTAATTATTTAAAATTTCAAATCCCTGATTATTAAGATAGGATATAGTTAAATTAATAATTTAATAATCATTTATCAATCTTTGCATTAATTTGAGTTTAATATTTTAGTGACTATTAGGCAATGAATTTAGATTAAAAATTCATTAGAATACTACTTTCAAATATTAAATTAGAAAAAAATCCATCTAATATATCATTCATTCTCTCAAATAAAAAACACCTAAATATATATAATACCTACAATTATATACATATTAATATAAATGTAATAAAAGATAAAGATTCGAAATAATAAAAAAAACTCTTTCCGCTGATCCTCTGACCACACACAAAAAAGATATTCGCAAGAAGTTTATACTTCTTTGCTAATAAAGACTTTACACTTTCATTAAAACAACTTGAAGATTGTCTTCATGTACCTTCTTTATCCTCCCTTACTTGTTTATAAACTCCTTTGAATAAAAACTTGAGTCTCTAGTTGCCTGAAAAGACTCAAGTATACACTTCCTCTACTAAGAGCAAGAAGGTTCTAGAAAGTAAAAGGACTGACAAGTGGAGTGACACCTTACAGAGCTAGAAGTGACAAGAAATAGAGGTTTTGTTGGCAGAGGAAGGCTTAATATTTATCTTCTCACATACTGTCTTGTATCCTCTTAAAGTATC